ACGATTTCCATATGCACAAAATATTAAAGGAATACAGAACATCAGAAAACAACGCAATACAGGCATAGTTGTAGACATTGGAGGCCAGATTTTGACTACCATTGAAGATAAATTACAAAGATGGAAAGAATATATGCAAGAGTTATTCGAAGATGCAGCACGAAGTCCGACTAAAATAATCAATCCCTACAGCCTAGAAATAACAAACCAGGAGAAGACAGAAAATCACCAGGACCTCGTGGTGTGCATGGCGAATTTTTAAAGCTATTAGAGGCACACCAAATCACAGATCTTACGAAGCTATTCAACAGCATCTACGGGACTGGTTACTTACCAAAAGACTGGCTACTATCAATATTCTAAAAAGCAATATTTACAGACAGATATTAGGTCTAAAATTCATCTTCATGAGATTTATGTTAAAAAATGCACAGAGGACAATGGACACAGAAGAAGAGTATTTGAAGCACATACCTCGAAAAGAAGAAGCTCAAAATGAGAAAACTAAAGACAAAAAGAAGGCCGTGAATGGAGAATGTCACACAATTTGCTGTGACCTTATGAAAGTCCAAACCATACCATTTATTAGTGCCAGCGCAGCATATTACAAGTTAAAATTAACTGTCCACAATTATACAGTAGATAACTTGGCAACCCAAGATGTTATGACGTATTGGTTTGACGAAACCAACAGTAACCTTAGTGCTTCAACCTCTGCTTTTTTTTAGTGGATTATACGTCACAACTTTAAAAATCTTTCTTACACCAGTGGTGATATACTCGGACGGGTGTTACTATCAAAATAGAAACTCAGTTCTTTCAAATGCGCTTTTGCACTTGAGCATGACTTCAGGAGTGACCATCACTCATAAATATTTAGAAGTTGGCCAACCATACACAGAAGGCGACTCGATACATAGCCATATCGAGGCTACTTTTGAAGACTTGGATGTTCTTCTACCTAGTCAATTTGTGGCATTATCAAAAGTAGCTTGAAATAAAACTCAGCAAGTTGATCCTTACAGAGCTCAACAGGTGGATTTAGAATTCTTCAAGAATTTCAATATATCAATAATATATCCCTCCATCCGACCGAGAAAGAAACCTGGAGATCCTACTGTTACGGATTTAAGAATTCTCCAATACAGGCCTGAAGAAAAAATTTATTACAAACTAAAATACACGGATGAATATGCTTCATTGCTCGTACGACCCCAAAAGCAAGATCCTGTCTATTTTCTCCCTAAGCTCTTCAACAAGCCTCTGAATATAACTTTGGACAAATGGAGATATCTTCAATTACCAAAGTCCATTATGAGTAAAGATGTTCATAGCTTGTACGATTCACTCCCACACGATAATATCAGTCAAAGATATACAAAAAGAGAAAAAGAAGCAGAAGAAAATAAAAACAAAAAAAAATGAGAATCATTAGGTGTAATTAGAAGCATTAAATTTAAGCTTCTCATGAATGTATTTTCCTTGTTTTTTTTTCTTAATCACAATAATCATCACTAATCACAAGTTTTTAACAATTTTTCCCCTAAAAATGAAATTTTAGAAACAAAGTAAACGAGATTTTATCTGGTAAGTAAAGTTTCATTGGAATTATTAAGGGATAATGAATTATTTCTCTCTCCTGAAAAACTTAGAAAATGACGTTAAGGCATGTTGCTCTGACAGTGACGATATACTATGAAAACATCTTTAGAGAGGCCTTGTCGATTACTGTAAATGTCCAACTTATAAACAATATTAGATATACAGACGATACATTGTTGCTGGCAGACAGTGCGCAAGGGCTCCAAAGGATTATGGATAACGTTGTAAAAACATGTAAGATATACGGCCCAAAATTAAATTGCAAGAAGACAAAAATAATGATTATTAGTAGGAACACCAACATAAACGCTCAAATTACAATAGGCAATACACCGGTAGAAAGAGTGGAAAAAATATGGTATTTGGACTGCAATATTAAGGATACTTGGGATCACATCTACGAAATAAAAACTCGTATTGAAAAAGGCAGAAGCTCTTTCAACAGCCTTAAGAAGACTCTCTGCAACTTATCTTTAAGTATCAATATACGCATAAGAATTCTTAGATGTTACTTCTTTAGTGTTCATCTCTATGGAGTAGAAAGCTGTAGCCTTACAGAAGATGCAATAAAACGATTAGAGGCATTTAAAATGTGCTACTACCGACGTATGTTGAGAGTCTCATATATACACCACAAAAGTAACATAACTATTCTCCAGAGGCTAAGTTTTGAAGAACTTCGAGTATCGTATTATTTGTACGACATCAAGAAGTTAGAAAATCGTCGGAATTGTTGTACTGAGCTAAAAGAATACTATATTGAATAAAATAAAAGAAGTTTTTGACAAAAAAGTTTCTCATTTTCAAGATTATTTATCAGACCACCTAGTATATTTGAATTTTATCGTATTATTATATATTATACACGTATAATTAGTTAATTTCCTATAAAACAACAATCAAAACAAAAGATACAATCACCACTGTCTAAGGTGCCACAAAAAGAAACCAGAAACAAATATAATCGTTGAAAACAACGTTGAAGTAGCGCGTGAAAATACTAAATTAAAAAGGAGTCCTACAAGTGAAGTGGTAATGGGGAAAGATTGGGCTTTCTTTGTCTTCTATCTCGTAATATATAATTTTGTAATTTTTAACAGGCCGACCACTTCATTCCGGTAATGCTACATAATTAGTTTTTCATTTTAATGACTTTCAATTTTACTTTAATTGTGACACGGCGTATTTTTGCATTAATAACTAAATTAAATATATTTAGATGATTTTTGTAATAAACGAAATACTTATCGGGAATTTGGTTAATTGATTGATTGATATATTATCTCTGTTTGTTTTGAACATTATACAAATTTTAAATGTTACATATATGACTATGTACACCACTCTACTAAATTGTAGGTCAATGTATAGGGTGTCCCAAACTATTTAATTCCAATATTCGAGAATTACTAAACATTATTGAACCATAAATTCAGAAACAAGCAGCATTCGAAGTCATTGGAGAGAAATAACATATAACAAATAAACAACACTATTATGAAATAAATGAACCAACAAAAAGAATAACTTAGACAAGAAAACAAGCAACTATACAGAAAATGGCTGACTACAAACAACGACGAAGTTTATAAAGAATATAGAGAAAATGATAGATAAGTGAAAAAAAAACCAATAACACAACATAAGAATGAAGAATGGGAAAGAACTTGCTTAAATATTGAAACATACATGGGAGATACAAGAACTTCGGAGTCATGGACAGTACTGAGAGGATTGAAACAAAACTCAAAACTAAAAAATTAAATTGGGAAATATACAGGACAAAGAATGAAAGGACTATTACAAGGAACTGTTAATAGAACAAAGACCACAATTTATTGGAAAAGAAAACAGGCGAAGACGAAGCAGATCCCCACAACAAGAAATAGAAGAAGATAAAAAATGATGCAAAAACTACAGAGAAATAAGCGTAATATTATCAATAGCAAGATTATATGGGAAGATACTGCGAGAAAAGATAGAGCAAGCGACAAAATCGGGCAAAATCGGAGAAGATCAGGCAGGCTTCACGGCAGGAAGATCATGCATAGACCACATATACACACTGGAACAACTGTTGGAAAAGAAAAAAGAAAAAAATAGAGATATACATTTGGAATTTGTAGACCTGAGAAAGGCGTATGACTCTGTACCTAGGTCAGAACTGTGGGAGGCAATGCACAAATTAGAAATACAGACGGAACTCACAGAAGCCACAAAATCTATGTATAAAGAAAATAAAGTGTCCATTAAAATAGGAACAAGAATCATAGGAGATTTCACCACAACAAAAGGGCCCCTGCAGGTTTGTTCCACATCTCCAAGATTTCACCACAACAAAAGGGCCCCTGCAGGTTTGTTCCACATCTCCAACCCTATTCAAAATATTCTGAAAGAAAGCCTTGACTACATGGAAAAGAAAACGCGAAGGCATAGGAGTACTGGTACGAAATCTACAGATTGATGACAACGTAACAATCAAAGAAAAGGATACATTTAAATATTTGGGGTTTATAATCACGAAAAAGACAACATCAGAGGAAGAAATTAGGCAAAGATTAGGATAAATAAGAACAGCAATCCGAGAACGTAACTCAGTATGGTGGGATAGACATCTAAATAAGAAGACAAAAACACAGATTTATAAAACATTAGTGCGAAGTATTATGACACATGGGGCTGAAAATTGGATTATAAACCAGAAAAACAGCAGTAAGATAGTAGCAAGAGAGATAAAATGCCTCCGAAGATGCTGCATACTAACTGATTGAAATTGAGAGATTGAATTATTGAGAATCCAAGATCCTTTCTGGGAAACGTGTTCAGCAAACCCAAAAACCACCCGAGTAATGGCATTTCACTTATGTTGAGAAAAAATATCACAAAACTACATAAGACAAGGTCCGCACTAGGCACCAGGTAGCTTGAGGACCATCGCTTTTATGATATTCGTATTCAACGACCTAGAGAACCACAGAGTAGCAAAATTGAACTCTTTCCTGCCGATATTTTACGAGTTTACAAGCAATTTTTTTCTATCTACTTTGAAAATGCACTTTCCTTATACACAAAATGTAATTTACATTTTACCATCAATAATTTTGTACACAAACTTTCCCGAATCAAGTGCAAAAAGTTGTACAGCGATTCATCTAGCTGTGAAAAATTGGTAGGCTTTGAGCTTTGTTGCCTCGCCTCTGGTTACAGTATCCACCATCTAACTTGTTTTTGAAACTACTTAAACTAGTAGTTTCTAGTAATGTCATCACTTAAACTATTTCATTTGTTAAAAACTTTAGAAACAAAGTTTCGAAACTCTGGTTCAGTTCAAAATCAACAACAACATAAGACTAAAAAATATCAAAAATGCTTTTTTAACAGAAATTAAACGTGCTTACCATTATGTGATGCAGGGGTTGAGGGAGTCTTTTCGAGCCTTGTGATTGGTCGTGGTTCAGCTGAAAAAAAAAATGATTTGCTATTACAATTTGCAGATTAAAATGATAAAATATATATTCAATGCAGATTAAAAATCTTGGCGAGCATTTAGATCCTATTATCACCATCTTTATAATCTCCATCTTACTATTAAGTAAGAAGAGTACAATTTGCCAAGACTGGGAATAACTTTCCGAAATTATGCCCATCGATGTATAGGCTTATTGTGGCTTATTCCCAATAAAAATACGTAATATAACTTATCAATTCATCTTAATTGTAATATTTCACAGTTCATTGGGGCTTTTTTGCAAATGCAGCCAAAATTAAGCTAATTCATTTCTTTTTTTTAAATACTCCTGTTTTAGTCCCAAGAGTTCTACCAGGATGTAAATTTTTGAAAAAAGTTGTTTTCTCTCATTTTATTATTCAGAATAACCTATTTTTGTGGTAGTAGTCCTAACATTGCGAATTAGGAGCTTTACTAGGAATATTTAGAAAGAATCCTAGAAATTGTTGCTAGAAAATATGCCCCAAGGAGCCATGAAAAATAATTAAAGCTTATCCAATGAGGTTTTTACTGTTTTAAATATAATAAGCCGTTATCGTTTAACATTTTTCGAAAAATTCAACATCTTATAATAAAGTGATAATAAAGGGATAATAAAGTGAACTCTTTTCGTTCAAGTTTCTAGAGGTTTGGTAACATAATGGTATAATAATGTAAGATCAATGCATGTAGTCTTCCTCAGATGATATTTGCCTCTTGTGTTACTTATATTGATTCCATATGTTCTATTGAGCTATTCTAAACAACCTCGTTTCGAAAACTCACCTTCAAATTACAAATAATGCCATTTTGTATTATATTTTAAACTGAGTTTTAAAATTTTCATATTATCAGAGTGTACAACGTTATTTGACAAACGCTTCTTATAAATATTGACATTTTGAACCCTTTTAAAATGTTTATTACAATTTCCAAATTGGCAGTATCTTATAGTCAATTTAGTAAATAAAAAAAAACAGAATTATTTGTGGGTTAGATTTGGAATCTAATTTTCGAACCAAATTGAACAATCAGTTAGATATGCTGAAGTCTAGAATGTTTTAATTCAGTGTCACTAAAGATGCTAAGGTGCATTGAACTATTTATACAAAGATTATGCCTTTATAAAAAAAGCGAAGTATTTTTTTGCGTGTAGGTTTTGTTTTCCACATTTCTGTGTTATACATAATAAATAAGATTCGAATCCCGCTGATATTTGCATGTGAAGAACTGGATAAATCTATATTTCATGTAATATCGCATGTATGGAGTACATCTACGCAGGATGAATATTTAAAAAGTCATCATCAAGAAATGCATTCAATATACCACAGATTATTCAAATATTCAAAACCAATTACTATGCACATGTAGTGGCCTTTTCAAATATGCCGAACTCGATGAAATATCATAACAAATCAAAACTAAGCCTGCTTATTAGTCTTTCCAGTGTTAGTATTGTGTAAGTTTCGTTCTGTCAGTCGCTATATATCATTATATGGCATAATAGAACTATTTTTTCTACGTTTCATAATCCCATTTGGGAGTCCCATAGTCTCACAAATTTTAGCAAAGTGAGGTCAGTAAAAAAATAAAAAAAATAGAAACATCGTAAACAAAAACAAAAATAGTACTATAAAAATCATCAGAAAAAATAGTCTGTATTCCTATGGTGAGCCAAAAACCTTAATACTGACAAATGTACCGAAAAACTAAACCGGATATTAGTAATTGCTAAATACGTTTCTTAAAAATCCATTTAATAACAGTAACATCCACCATAAACTAAAACGAGTAAGACTGGTGAAGACTACAATGTGTCAAGTTATCTGTAAGGTTAACATGGTTAACTAATGTTTAAAATATAAATCTGATTAAGGCAGAAAGATTACTTGACGTGTGTCCATTTGAACATAGTTCTGTATTAAGTGATACCAAAGTCCAAATTAGACAATTTTTAATAAACTTTCGCAAATTATTGCCTACTTTGATGATTTGAATTTAACTGCCCGAATAACAAACAAGTGACAACAAACGATTACTACTTTGTCAATTGCTTCAAAAGAAGTTAAACTAAAGGTAAATCTAGTGCAAAAGTGGATATTTAAATCTAAAGAGGTCGCTAAAAACGCAAAATCAAACCAGAAAATAAAAAGCATTATATAAGATGTTTCCGTGTTGCCACAAGGACCGGAAATGGACCGTTTCCAAAGCAAATTAAACAATTTTATTCGTTTTTGAATAAAAATAGGATAATAAGTTGTTTTCCTGTTGTTTAAGGAAATACATATCCTCAGAGGGATTTTGGTTGCATCTATATCATCATCATCATCATCATCATCATCATCATCATCATCATTCTGGTCTTACAACCCTACATAGGTAGGGCCTCCTCAAGTATTCCCATATTTCTCATGTTTTCATCGACGATATCAAGGAATCTTGAATTGGGTCTTCCTCTTCTATAACCAATGGGTATATCAAGAAGCGTTTTTCTAGCTGAATAATTTTGTTCCATCTTCATTACATACCCTATCCACCTCAAACGTTCTATTGGGTGCGTCCAAATCTGTATTAACGGAAGATTGATAAGGAGCTATTACTAAGAAATATATAGAAAATCAGATGAAAATACGTGATATGAAAATAGAAATACTGAAATTAGTAGGAACAGAAAAGAAACTCTCTTAGACGTATGTGTCTAACAGAAAATATTGTTAAAAATGTGAACAGTCAATCCCACATATTTGTATAATAATAAATAAAATTGGTAATATATTCTGAAATAGAGCTTTAGGATTTCCGTGAGTAGAGTTACAACATACTCTGGAACAGATATTAGGTCTGACCACAACAAAAAAATTACTGAAAAAGAATTTTAGCATTTCAGACATAAATAAAATATAATCAAAAAATATGTAAACAATTTTCATGAAAAAAATGAGAACAATCGAAAGTTTTTAGAGAACATGAAAATCATTTCGTTAACATATATGACAAAGATACTAGAAGAAAATAGTGGAACAAATAGATTCATGAAACAACAATGGATAATGAAAGAAATACTGGACCTTATGGAACAAAGAAGATAATGCAAGAACAAAGCAGAAGCATACAAAGAAAAATAATTAAGAAAAAAACGAACAACTGAAGAAAGGGGATGCTGGAAAGAGAATCAGAAACAATTAGAAACGAAACAGATGCAAATCAAAAATTCCACTGGCCTCTTAAACAGAACAAATCAATGCTTTTGGTAAACTTTTTAACGATGTGTATACAGGTGAAATACCTAACGAATAGCTGAATTGTGTTTTGATAGGACTCTCTGAAAGAGTCATAGATGAAACAAAGTTTAGCTTTAGGAATGCAATTGGTACCCATAAAGTATTTTTTGCCTTAAGTATACTTCTACAAAAGTACCGCAACCGATGTAAAGATATTTATGTAGCTTTTTTTTCGATTACGAAAAAGCTTTTGATAGGATACATCATGAAATGCTTTTGAATATAGCAGGAACCAATCGCACGACAATCTCTCCCTACATATAGAACGACAAACCATGAAGAACGTTGCGCAATTTAAATATATGGGCTGCTACATTACAGATAATCAGACTAAAAGATCAAGCGCAGAAATGAAGCAGCTCACAAAATGTTTTTGAAAATGAAATCATTCTTATATAAACACAATTTAAAGTTAAAATTTGCATCAAATAACTGCAAGACTCGCAAGTTGGAGTCTTCTTCTTCTTCAGATGCAAATCCACTAATGGATGTTAGTGATCACATTTTCCATTAATTCTCTATTTCTTGCAGTATGTATCAGAGATTGTATGTCGTTAATCCCTGTCCATTGCCTTATGTTTCGGAGCCAGGACATTTTCTTGCGTCCCATTCCTCTCTTGCCTTCAATTTTACCCTGGATTATAAGTTGAAGGAACTGGTATTTTTCATTTCGCATGATGTGACCTAGATACGCCGTTTTCCTTTTCTTGATGGTTTCGAAAAGTTGGCGTTCTTGGTTTATTCTTTTAAGGACATCTATATTTGTGATTTTCACTGTCCATGGTATTTTTAGGATACGGCAATAAAGCCACATTTCGAAAGCTTCTAAACTGTTTATATCCCTCGTTTTGAGTGTCCAGCCCTCTACGCCATATAGCAGCACTGACCATACGTAGCACTTAGTAAACCTTAGTCTCAGTTGAAAATCGAACTCTAAACAAGTCAGTACCTTCTTGAATTTTACGAAAGCTTGTCGAGCTTGCTCAATGCGACATTTTACTTCCCTGTCCGATGCCCAGTCTTCAAAAAGCCACGATCCCAGGTATTTAAATTTACTCACTCTTTCAATGGATTTAGTATTCAGTGTTATGGTGGAGTTTTCAAGTGCATCCAAGTTTCTGGAGATGATCATGAATTTCGTCTTTTTGGTATTAATCTCTAATCCCATTCGCTTACTGTATTCTCCGATTATAGTGACAAGTTGTTGAAGATCGACTATGTTGTCACAAATTAAGACACCATCATCAGTATATCGTATGTTGATCAATACTCCATTCACCTTGATTCCTTGGTTTTTTTCACCAAGCTATATACATATATACTCAACTATACTCAATCTCAATACTCCTAAGTAATTGCACAGCCAATCCTATTCTGATTTTTATGACTCTATATCTGTTAATATTCTTTGAGTACTGAATGTAATGAGTATTGATGAGAGTCCAAGTATAAATTATATTATCAGTGTAAATAGGACTCTTATTATTACAGATGAAATTACGTTTTTTCAACAATGTTTAATGGGACTGCTATCAGATAAGTGTTAATGTTTTGTTGTGTATGAGACAATTATTAATATTAATATCTATTATGAATTATTTATAATACGTTGACATTATTTCTCAGAAAGAAGCTCTTATTTTGATATATCTTCAAGATTTACCTATATTAAATAATTTTTAATACA